ATATATGTGTGTGTGTGTGTGTGTGTGTGTGTGTGTAAGGGATAATGTATAGTGAGCTGGTGACTGTTGAAAAATAACTCCCGACAGGGGAAGAGGGTCGGAGTGGATGAACCCAGTTAAAGAGTACCCGCCCGGACGGGACGCTCTAAAACTAAAGCGAGCGCACCCGCAAGGAGGCAAGGATCATTTCATTGGTCAACAGTAAATCTGGCATTCTATCGGTTGGGGGATTTTGACAGGGTGGGTACACAAAAAAAAACAAGTGCATGGTATCTGAGTGCAAGCAACATGTTATCTGAGTGCGAGCACACAGTTTGAGCAGAAACAGAGTAGATCCAAGCGCAAGCAGAGGCTATTTGAGTGTGAGGGCAGGGTTTTTGAACGTGAAATCAATAAATAATGCTTTCAAACTGATAGACCACTCTCTTGAATAAAGATAGGGATAAAGCTCCATACGCATGCGCAGTCACGTACTGCTAAGAGTGAAATCCCTGATCGTTAGCTCACACGCAGCTTGCTCGAGCTGTTCTCTCTGTTGTTGAAATTAAACAAAATAACGTGGAACATATTTAAGCAATATCACACGAGAGGTAGTGATGTTGTACTGTATATCGTCACAGCTGTGATTCGGTCATTCGAGTGCCGAAGACAATTACAGCTTTTATACAACAGTTCAACAACAGCTTAAACAGCAATGCCGAGTAACGAAATGTTAACAAAAGGTGATGAAATAAATTATTTAAGTATGTTATGTAGCTCAGCGAAAAAAAAAAAACAGTTCCCCAGTCTGTTGCCAGGCAACGCAGCACACACGCCAGGAACTCACAAGCCGGATTCAGCTTCCACTCTCCTTCATCCTCATCAGTACCTCATCAGATGATCATTGATAATTCAGTTCAAACGATATCAAAGCTTTGCTTTGCTTTTATAGCCTACAACAGCTCTACAAACGTCACTTAGCTATAGTTGGCTGCAATAAATAAATGACAACAGATTATGATTTCTTAGTTTATTTATGTGGCTCCACCAGCGCAAACTAATAGATCAGAACTTGACTGTTTCAAGTACGCCAATGTAGCGAGTGTGACAGTTGGTTAATTAACAGTTGTATTTATATTTATAACACCTGTGAGCGGAGTGATTTTACTGTTACATGTCCCAGTGATGTTGTACTCTATATCAGCACTCATGGAATGCCTCTTGTCCAATCAAATTACTTGGTCGGAACGAACTATTGTATAAAAGCAATTAATAAATAGCCAAAGTGGTGTTTAAAACTGCATATATTGCTAGCAGATCTATTTTCTGGTCTAAAGTGCAGCTGTGACTATTTCTGAATGTGGGCTTTAGCAGGCAGCCGCTCTCTCCTCTTCCTCGTCACCCCCTCGCTCTGAATGTAGGCATGGACTGTAACGCTATATGGCGTATACTGCCCCCATCAGTTCCGGAAGAGTCATAGCACCGATTCTAATGCTGGTATCGGTTCTTCCGGTTTTTCAAAAAATGAGTATCACCGGGTTTTTTCATCATGGAATCGAAAGCTATCGCGAGTATCGGTTCTCATGATATCACTAGTGTAGACTCTGGCTACAAATGACATCACCAGTTCAAGATGGCAGTGGCCATATCCGCGATATGTTGGCTTCATTTTTGTACAGTGAGAGGAAGTGAAGGCATGTTGGCCACCAGGTCCTGAAAGGCCCCCAGTGATCAAAAAACTTGATCGGGGTATCCCTAATTGAAATTACTAGGAAATTATTGACCTTTAAAAATTATGTGTTACACTTGCTTCACAATGTCCTCTTAGATTTGTCTGAATTGTGCTTTCAGTTTACCATTTTATTTCTACTATATTTTTTTTATTTTCTCTTCTATGTGACCCCTGGTATTTCACTCTGTGAATGCTCTGGTGACCTGACATGCCAGTCTCATGTTTGAAAAGGGGTCAGTGTTGTTGTTCTGTAAAGATGTCTGCCAACTCAGGACCCAGAAACGCGCTGTCACATTAACAGATAAAATACAGCAGAAAAATTATTTCATTTTGCTCAATTAGCTTAACAAAATGGGTGCGGTGTTAAAGTGAGACATGATAACTGTACAAACCTCTCTCAAAACTGTCTTGCAGTCTTCTGGGTTGGAGTCTTTTATTTTCCTTCTGTAGAAATAGTACAGAAATGCATTGCTTGTAATTAAACCATCACTTAAAAGCATTATCATGTCAGTGTCCATTATTTTCAAATTCCAATAAACAGTGGCTTTAAACTTTCTTTCTGACAAATATGCTTATCAAATTCCCCACATACATATCATATAAAAACAAACACCTAACAATGAACATAGAGGGCTCACAAAAAAGGGCACACCTAAATGAAACACATAAAGGTACTTTGAAAATAATAAGAGGAGGGCATGTTCTGCTGTCGTACTTTCTGACAAGGTACAAACCCAGTTCCAAAAAAGTTGGGATGCTGTGTACAACATAAATAAAATATGATGCAATGATCTGCAAATCGTTTTTACCTTTATCCAACTGACTTAAGTACAAAGACAAGATATTTAACAGATAGAAATTCACAAACTTTGTTTTTTTGTAAATAACACTCATTTTGAATTTGATGCGTGCAACACATTTCCTAAAAGTTGTGGAATGCTCAAAATACACCCGGAGCTTCCCACAGGTAAACAGGTTCATTGGTAACAGGTGATAGTATCATGATTGGGTTGAAAGAGGCATCCTCAAAAGCCTCAGGTATTCACAAGCAAGGATGGTCCTTTGTAAAAAACTGTGTGGGCAAATAGTCCAACAGTTTGAGAACGATTCTCAAAGCACAATTGCAAAGAATTTAGGGATTTCAATCCGTAATATCATCTAAGATTCAGAGAATCTGTAGAAATCTCTGCAAATAAAGCGACGAGGCTGAAGGCCAATACTGACTGACTGTGACCTTTGACACTTCAAGCTGCACTGCATCAAAAACCAACACGACTGTATAAAGGACATTACTACATGGGCTCAGGAACACTTTGGAAACAATTGTCAGTAAACACAGTTCACCATTGCATCTAAAATGCAAGTTAAGACTACCATGCAAAGTGAAAGTCATATATCAACAACATCCAAAAACACCACTGACTTCTTTGGGCCTGGGCTCATCTGAAATGGACTAAAACAAAGTGAAAAAGTGTGCTGTGGTCTGATGAGTCCACATTTTAGATTGTTTTTGGAAATCATGGACGTCGTGTCCTCCGGGCTAAAGAGAAAAAGGACCATCCAGATTGTTAAAAGCTCAAAGTATAAAGCCAGCATCTGTGACAGTATGAAGGTGTGTTTGTGCGTGCCCATAATGGGCTTCTTCCAGTAAGACAATTAGACACATTCTGCATGTGTTCCAACAGCGTGGCTTTATAGTAAAAGAGTGCAGGTTCTGAAGTGACATGCCTACAGTCCAGACCTGTCTCTTATTGAAAATGTGTGGCGCATTACAAAGCGTAAAATGCAGCAACAGAGACCCCTGACTGCTGAGCAACTTAAGTCATATATCAAGCAAAAATTAGTGTCCTCAGTTCCCAAGCACTTACTGAGTGTATATTTACAAAAAACAATAAAGTTTATCAGTTTTAACATTAAATATATTGTCTTTGTACAGTACTCAACTGAATATAGGTCAAAAATGTTTTAATCATTGTTATCATTGTGTTCTGTTTGTAATGACAGCTTCCCAACTTTTTTTGGAATTGGGGTTGTACTTAAATAACGGCGACGGTGGCTTTAAGACTGGTCCAAGATCCACCATAAAAATACTATGTGAGATGGTCAGAAAAGTCAGTGGCATTTCTGACTAATGACTGGTGTTGAGGTTTGTGCTTGTTTCTTTTTCTAAAAGGTCAGAATCACATGTGACCTCTATACTGAAAACAGCAATATGAAACAAATACAGCACTTACTAATGTGGTTTTCACCTGTTGGTTGTTGGCTCCATTGTCATTGGCTCCTTTCTTCACATAAGACGAATCCTGACATTTCTTCCCGCCTTTCACATTTGGGTTCTACAGAGAATGGGATGAGGTCACTGTGACGAGGCAACCCTGTCTCAAGCCACACATAGATTCTATGTCCTATTACAGGGGCTATATCAGTAAGTTACTGTCACTTAGTTGTCAGATGTCATCACAAGTTCCCATCCGTCATCTCACAAAGACCAAAATGAACAGTGTGTTAAAGTGGCCCTCATCAACTCAGATGTTCAGAGGTTGGTACTTAAGAGGTAAAGGGTCGATCTGAAGATAATGCTTGATGGGATAAAGCAGCAGCTCTACCCCCTCCATCAGTGGTTATATCATTAATGAATTCTATGATGAAAAGTGTTCTCAACAATCTTTTTTCCATGACAAAGACGAGGTGTTGACAAGCTAAAAATTGATCTTTGATAAGAAAAACTATGACAGTATGTATGGTTTGTTTTCGTTGATGAGACGAGACAGGACTAAAATGTTAGTTGTGGGCTGTCAGACATTTAAAATAAGAATAAAGGACAACACAGACATAAATTATTTTATGAAACATATGAGGAAATGTTTAAATTAGGAAGCCCAGTGTAGCTGTACTTCTAATGCCATATGAACTATAGGAGATCTGAGCTCCAACGGGCTAGTAAACTAGTGCGCCAGGAACAGCCAACCTGATGCATAATCAAACTAAGTGGCTGCTTAGGGCCCAATGGTGAGTACAGAGCCCCCTGGAGCACTGGAAATGTCCGACGGATGTCAGTGTTTACAGAGGAGAAATTAGTTGTGCTCATTCAGGACCAATGGACTCCCTGTAGTAAGAATTCACTTTTGCTACGCTAGGCCCGAAGATAGGCAGCAGGCTGTCAAACTACCCCCATGTGATCCTAAAATATGCCTGGAAATGGCAATCATGGAGGCGAAGCTCCTGGACCAACTGGTGGTACTCCCTGTCATCCACCCCTTTTTTTTTAGGGTCTCATGTACGCACACAGATCTGTTTCCCTGTGCCCAACAAACTATTTGCTGACAGGCCCTTACCCTCAACCAGAGCTTAAGTACCCTCTGCCTGTCCATTTTAGCCACTAGATACTAATTACTGTAAAATAAATAAAATAAAAAATTAATGATAAATAAAAGGTAGATTGATTACATGGGAAGGTTAGGGTAAGAAGGTGATGGGGTGGTTGCCTGGCTACAATAAAAAGGCGCAGCAAGCGTTTCTTTATGAGTAGCAACCTGCAAAACACTTTCTGTGTGATCGGGGCCGAGTCCTGTCTTTTCTAACCTGGTTGATGTCATACTGGGTCAGCTGGCCCAGAGCCTTCTGCTGCTTGTGTTTTGCCCAGTCTCCTGGAAATGCATCAGTGCTGGTGAGGCGGCGGGATTTGGACCTAAAAGATGGAAGAAAAAAACAAAGACAAGGTGGATGGTCAACTGCTGATGGCCCAGATGGTAATGCCTTTAACTTCTGCTATATATCTAAAAGATGCAAATATCTAATCACCTAACTAAATTACAAGCAGAGTATTGTTTTCAGCCAATTACAATAAAAAACAAAGAGGGGTTGCTATTTTAATAAGCATTAAAGTCTCATTTATTCACAACTCCACCATTACAGACCAAGAAGGACGTTTCATCATCATTTACATCTCAATCAACAATAGCCCGGTTACAATTGGCAATGTTTATGGCCCAAATACTGATGACCCATCTTTTTTCAATAATTTCTTTTCTTCCATCTCCACTAACTGTAATGGCCCAATCATAACACAGTCATCAACCCATCACTATACAGAACTAACACCTCAAAGAAATGCACCTGGCAGTCTACAGAAACAATATAACAGTTCATGAGCGATATTGGTCTTAGAGATAGTTGGCGTTTGCAACGCCCTACCGCAAGATAGAGTTCTCAACGGGCCCAAAAATTTAACCTGAAACTGAAATGACCCGAGGGACTTGAAGCCCGAAACCGGCCCGGCCTGACATCATCACATACATCACTGGGTACGAGCGCGACTGAACCCGAGTTTTTTTTTTTTTTTTTTTTTTTAAATGGAAGGGGGGAAAAATTATGCTCCCCCTGTGCGCCTCAGCAGTCTGGCTTCCCTGGCTCAAATACAGTATCTTTAATCACTTAAAGTCAACCAATCATTCATGTCCCAAAATAATATTACCAGACAGACAGGCTTCAACGTCAGCGTGGGGGAGAGCAACCATTGTGCATCATGTAGTGCTGCGCCACTGCATTTAATGAGCCGCAGCCGCTCTCAACACTTTTCCTGCACCTGAACGCTGACTGACTGACTGAACTTCGCTTACACTTCACAGCAGCATATCTTGTTTTAGTATTATTATTTTTTTCGTCAGAACAGAATTCAGCATTCTTTATTTTTGTAATTCGCATATTCTTCTTGCTTAATTATTATAGCCCTATTATCATCCCCCTTACACACACACACAGCAGACGATACTTCAACTTCAACTCGAACACTTCATTAAAAACGGTAACTATAACCTTCAAACATCAACAACATAACATTGAATAATGAATGGATTTGGAATAATCTTAACAGACATGCATATTTTCTTCCTCACAGGCTGCTCAGAAGTGAGAACCATGGACAGCAGCATTGTGTGTTAGTGCTGCTGTCACACCCTCACCCGGTGCGCTTCTCTGACAGACACACTTTTTATTTATTTATTTTTTTTTTTTAATCTCTCTCCGCTGTCCAAGCCCGACTCAGCCCGCCCCAATTAACTTAATTAGTCGGCCCAAACTGACCCGACCCGTCGGGCTTATTCGGGTCGGGCTCGGGCTCAGGTTGAAATTGAGAACTCTATCGCAAGACAATATTAATTTTTTTCACCAGTTCATAAATCATTTTCATGTATTGACTTCTTCCTCACCAGCAATTCAATTATATCAAATATCTCAGATTCAATGATCCACCCCATAATAATCAGTAACCATGCCCTGGTAACATTCACATGGAATACAATTTATCCGCATAAACCTACCACCAGGTGGCGCTTTAACACATCCCTCCTCAATGACCCAGAATTTGATAGCCTTATTAAAAGAGAGTGGGCATCCTTCCTTTAAATAAATGATTCCCCAGAGTCATCTCTGTCTGTTCTCTGGGAAACAGGTAAAGCAGTTTTAAGAGGTATTATAATTTAATTCTCCACCTACAAAAAAGGATAAAACAACAATAGGAAGCTGAACTGGAATAAAAAAATCCAGCAACTTGAAGACATCAACGCAAATAACCCAACAGAGGAAACACAGAATGAATTAAGGAAATATAACTTCCCAGTTGAATGAAATCTTAAAGGGAAATTTCGGTTTATTTCAACCCGTATCCTATCGTCCTAAATTTGTTTCAAGTGACTAGTGACATAGAAATAATAGTTAGCATGTTAGCCGTTAGCCTAGATACAGCTGTAGCATCAGACCTGTTAAAACGTAAGTGAACGGGCAACCTTCAAGTGCAAAGTTAGTCCACTAAACAAGCTTATTTTCCACAAAGACCGCCTCATATTGTTAGGATAAATGTCAGAGAACATATAGAAAACAACATGTAAACGTGTTGTCTTACCTTACCGGTGTGCTGCCATGTTTGTTTATTCCTCTAGCTCTGCTTTCCAAAGCGCGGCCGAAATATATCTCGCCAGCTCTAGATAAAGCCCAGCTGGATACTAACGTTACTCCAGGTGGAGGTGTCTCGTCCTCGGTCATATCCAGACCTTGAAAATAAGGCTGTAACTGGTCCCATTTTTTGCAACAGAGGCATTTCTCTTCTGTGGGCATTGGGGCACAGCATTCACAGGTACACCACCAATCTCCAGAGCTATGCAGCCTTGAAGCAGCCATTCCTCCTCTCTTGTCCTCTAACGTTACCTGTTGCACCTCTCTCTCTCCTTCCTTCAGGCTACTGTCCGGTTCTGCCTTCCAGCTGTTGTTGCTTGTTCAGGCACGCTATGAGATCGCTGCTTGTTCTCGCGATATTTTGGCCGTGCTTTGGAAAGCAGAGCTAAATGGTAAACAAACATGGCAGCACACTGGTAAGGTGTTTAAGAGTGTTGTTTACATGTCGTTTTCTATATGTTCTCTGACATTTATCCTAACGATATGAGGCGACAAAGATCCATCATTAACATCAAGCTACCATCCAATTTCTCTTATTAACGCTGACATTAAAATCATTGCTAAAACACTCGCCCACAGAATGGAAAAAGTTACGTATCTCATCCATAATCCACACAGATCAAACCGGTTTCATTAAAGGCAGACAATCATCCAATAACACATGTAGGCTCTTTAACATAATAGACTACTCATCCTAACAACAAGCACAAACTATCATTGCCATATTAGATGCAGAAAAAGCTTTTGACAGGGTTAATTGGTCATTTCTCATTTCTACAATGCAAAAATTTGGCTTTGTGGAATCATTTATTAACTGAATTGAAATTTTATACACAGCACCTTCGGCCACAGTAATCACCAATGGACTAATATCACCACCTTTGACACTGCACAGGGGGACTAGGCAAGGATGCCCACTCTCTCCCTTCTTATTTACTATTTTCATTGAACCTCTAGCCGCAGCTTTTCAACAGAACAATAACATTAAAGGAATCCAAACACCAAACGCACACCATAAAATTCGTCTTTATGCCGATGATATTTTACTCTTTTTAGAAAACCCCCACTCATCCCTACAGGAAACAATAAAACTCATAGACTAATTTTCCGGAATCTCTAACTACTCTATAAACTGGCAAAAATCCGCTATCATTCCATTGCACAGAAACAGCTGGGATGTGGCAGCTCAAACTCCACCTTTTCCATTATGCACCAGTCACATTACATATCTCCGTATTAATATCTCCCCCAGGCTGTCAGAGCTGCTCAATCTCAACTACACCCCACTTCTCAAAACAATAACTGACAAATTTCTTTGCTGGATGAACCTCCCATTCTCCATATTAGGCCGAATTGCAACAATAAAAATGTCAGTACTTCCTAAAGTTAATTATCTCCTCTCCAAAGGCACAGGGAGGACTTGCCGCACCAAATTTCTATCGTTATTACCTTGCAAATCAGTTGCAATACATACACAAATGGATCCATCCCCATCAGTCAGACAATACATGGCTGGATATAGAACAGATATTTTGCGAAAACATCACCATCTCAGACTTACTATTTCTTAGTCATTCAATTAAACACCACCAGTGTTTCAAAGTAATAACAATATCAGCAACTCTGACAGCCTGGTGGAAATTTCATAAAGTCACAAATTCCACATTAGGCCCATCTAAGTTCACTCCGATCTGGAACAACCTTGACTTTCTCAGCAACAAGAAACCAATTCACCTCCACTCATAGTCAAATAAAGGGATCATCCACTTACAGCACATCATTCAGAATAACACACTAGTTCCATTCGCTCACCTGGCCCAGGAGTTTGGCATCAGGATCAATCAATTTCTTGAATACTCACAACTCAAATCATCAATTCAAGCCGCATTCGACATAAAAACTACAAACCTGAATCTTCCACCATCATGTTCAGACTTAATTAATATTCAATCAACAAAAAAACTTCTCTCCAAAATATACAGAATTATCTCATATTCGGACAAAACACTCTCCATACCAACAATAAAATGGGAAAATGATCAGTCAATTGCTCCTGATGCCAACTTCTGGAATCAAATCTGCCAAAACATCTATCTCATGACAAAAAAATGCAAATCTACAGTAAATACGATACAAGATACTTCACAAGACACACTACACAGGACAGAAAATGTTTAACATGGGATTCTGTTTTTTTTTTTTTTTTAAAGATTATTTTTATGGGCTTTTTGCCTTTAATGACAGGACAGTGAGTGAAACGAGGAGACAGAGAAAGAGTGGGGACGGACATGTAGCAAAGGGCTGCGAGTCGGATTCGAACCCGCGGCCGCTGCAGCGAGGCAATGCCTCTGTACATGGGGCACCAGCACTATCCACTATGCTATCGACGCCCCATAACATGGGATTCTCATCTGAAATCTGTACTAACTGCACCCAAAAGAAACCGGACATTTATATCCACGCCATCTGGTACTGCACACCTGTTCAACAATTTTGGTATGAGGTCATAAAGTCACTGTCAAACTTCTTGGCTGCCACATCCCCTTATCTCCCTCTCACTGCCTACTTGGCGACACCTCAACAATGAATCTGACAAGTCCCAACAATAAATGAATTCTCATAGCCCTAACTATCGCCAAGAAAACTATCCTCATGAACTGGAAATCCAAAAACAACATCAGTATAGCACAGTGGAAAAACTTACTCATCGACCACTTCTCCATGGAATATTCCACCCAA